AAGAATCAAGATTATCATAGGATATTATCTTCTCTTCTCTGGTGTTTCTTCAGGTCATGAAGTCAGTAAGAGTTCTGATGACCCTGCAAGACAGCACTGTGTACTTCCTGGTCCCTATGGGATGAGCCTGGTGTTGGTCACTCGGGTTATCCACAAGACTAAAAAACACTGCAAGTGGTAAGGTGGGAAGCTGTGCACAGCAGGTTTCCAGGGAATGGTTTAGAGTCTAGTGCAGAGCAGGGCTTGGCACTAACACAGCACAGGAACAGTAGCTTCTCTTTGCAAACCTCTCGGTATTCTGGTACTGAATGAACTAATTTTTACTTATGCTACTCTTCCGGGGATATAGGTCAAAGACTGAATGTTTGGAACCACCAAACATTGGGCTGATCCCATGTCTGGTGTTGGAATGAAAAGGCAGTAGCTTGGGGCCAGCAGGTGGTGTGGTGGTTAAAGGCGCTGGATTTCCAAATGGCTGACCACAGTTCAAGTACCGGACCTGGAGGCTTGCTTTCTAGTTTTCCCTTTCTCTATCTCTCTGTCTCTGGTAAAATTAAAAAATAATAATAACAAATGGAATTAAATAAGTCATAGATAATCCTTAAAAAAAGAAAAAGGAATTTCTTTCCATCTACACAGGTCTACCCTCATATTGTCTTCATAACATTATCTTAGGTATTGTGCTTCTAACTTCCTAAAATTGTAGGAAAGTATTGAGTAAGTGAAAAGACTAACCAATTCTAGTTATAGAGCTATTTAGGTTTTTTATTTTTGTGGAGTCAGCTTTATTATTTTGTTTTTTAGAAATTTAGTTTGACTTGCTTTCTCTCTAAATTTTTCGCTCTTATATGTATGTGTTGTTGTTGTTGTTGTTTTTTAATCTGTAGGTACTGTCTCTTGCCTCTGATCTCTCCTTTCTCTTGCTAATTTCAGAATTCATGTGCATGTGAGGTGGGCTTTCTGTGACCCATTCATATGGCATGCTAGTGTGCTGCGTGGTTCTGATATTTTTGTCTTTTTTTTAAATAATTTTTTTTCTTTTTTCACTTTTTAAAATATGTTTCCTTTTGTTTCCTTTCTTTTACCTGACTTTCTCACCTTGCTTCTCACCATCTACACATTGCGTGTGTAGACATTTCTAGGTGCGCAATAGCAAAACATCTGAATACTTAAAACCCTGCAGCTTAGCCCATGTGCTCCTATTGCCTTGAAACTGTGAGGCTTTTGTAATATTCAGTTCCATTGACACAAGTACAGGTTGCTTGGCGAGAATCAGGGAAATGGTACTGCAGAAAAATTGTAGGCCATCTCCTTCTGCACACCTCTAACTCTCAGAATTAACTCCAAGAAAGTAGGAAGTAACATGTAGTGCATCAGATGACCAGAAACTACCATTGCAGAGGCACAAGAAATATGGAAAATCAAGAAAATATCTCTCCCCCCCAAGGGGAAAGAATACCCTTTCATCATCCACAGATAGTATAATGGAACTTGTGGAAATGTCAGATAAAGATTTTAGGATATTCATAGTGACAAAGCTAACAGAGATGCAAGAGAAGAGAGATAACAAACTCCAGAAGATGCAGGAGAAAAGAGAAAACGAGTTCCAGAAGGTAAGGATGTTCTTCCACAATCCAAAAGTGGAAATACACACCATAAAAAAGAAGCAGACAGAACTGTTAGAGATGAAGGTTGTAATACAGGAAATCAAAATCTCCCTTCAAAGTATTAAAGGCAGTTTAGATCATGCAGAAAATTGAATCTCAGATGTAGAAGACAGCACCTCTGACCTAGAAAAATTCACCAAAAGGACTGAGAAAATAACCCCCCAAATGAGAATAATATTCAAGTAATACTAGATAGCATTAGACATCCAAACATCTGGATCATCGGTATCCCAGAAGGTGAAGAAACTAATCAGGACATTGATAACCTATTTCAGGAAGTCCTAGAAGAAAACTTTCCAAACCTAGAGAGGCATCCAGACACAAGATATACAAAGGACCCTACTTAGAATCAACCTAAGAAGATCTTCTCCAAGGCACATCACAGCCAGATTGACTAAAACCACGAACAGAGATAAGATACTAAAATTGACAAGAGAAAAACATCAAGTTACTTTTAGAGGATATCTCATCAGGCTAACATCAGACCTCTCAACAGAAACAATGAAAGTAAGAATGGAAAAATATATTCAAAGTGTTAAGTGAAAAACAATTTCAACAAAAAATACTGTATCCGGCAAGATTATCCTTCATACAGGAAGAAAAGATAAAAACATTCTCATATAAACAAAACCTGAAAGAATATACTAACACTAGACCAGCTTTTCAAGAAGTTCTGAAGGGAGTACTATACCAGGAAAAATAAAGACAGACAAATAAGAGAACAAAAAATGACCACGAGAAAGGCCAACTTAATGGTAGGGACACATTCTGAAATATCAATAATAATGTTGAATATTAAAGGAAAGGTCAGACCACAGTAACACTGCAAATTCAACAAAAGAGATTACACAAGACAGAACTGTCGAAATAGAATTCTATGACTTTTTTTCTAAAACATTACTGATTTTCTTCTATGCCTTGTCTTCCAGATTTAAGATTTTTTTTGTTTTCTTCTGAGTTGTTTGGTTCAGCAATTTGTTAAAGAATGTTTTTAATTGAAACATAAAGTTTTCTCCCTTCCTGACCCCTTTGCAATTGGAAAATATTTGTGAGCATTCTTATTTTGTGGCAGAGTGGTTATTTGCATAAGTTGAATAATACAATAGTATCTGTTGCCTTGCATCAGAAATTGAATTGTTATGGGGCTTTGTGCAAATAACAGAACAAATTGAGATTAACCTAATTTTTTTTTTTTGGCAAATAAGTTAGTTTATACCTTCCTTTAATAAAAGGGGGAATGTAGAGAGAGGGAAAGAAATCGTTTCAGAAAAAAATTACACTGCACTTGTCACTAGATTCCAGCTTTGTTTATACTTTAAGGTCTTCTGTGAATAAATAAAATGTGAAAAATAAAGTTAATGTGGAAGGGAGGGAGGAGAAATGAGAAGGAAAAAATGGGTAAAATAGGTTTAATTGTCAAAAAATGAGAAACAATGTATATAATATCCTTGTCTTGACTGACATGCATGGTTTTTGTGTTGGGAAAGAAATGTATACTGTAAAGACATGATGAAATGTTAATTAAAATAAATAAATACATAAATGAATAAATAAATAAAAATTTAAAAATAATTTAAAAAGAAATTCAGTTTGACTTAAGTTTTCAAATTTATATAAAGTTGTTCACAGTATCATTTCTTTTAACATCTTAGTATCTATGGCACCTGTAGCTTAATCTCTTTTTTCTTTTTCTTTTTTTTAATCTTTTTTTTTTTGGAGAGGTTTTTGCTATAGGGCATGTGTGCTTGCCAGACAGACACAGAGAGACAGAGAGACAGAAAGTGAGAAATCACCCCCCAGGGGGGATGGCCGTGCTGCAATCCCTTCTCCTCCATTCTCCTCTCGGGATCTTGGGCACGCACGCACACGCGCCTGGCGTGAGTTTTAAGCCACCGGGTCCAGGATGCGAACCGTGGTCAACTACGTGGGAGTCCAGTGACATAGCCTTTATGCTAACTTCTGGTCCCTCTTTTTTCTTTTTTTTAATTGCTGGCATTATCTATTTTATGATTTGTCTCTTTTTGTTTCTGGTCAATTTTATCTAAAGTTTTTCAATTTTATACTTTTCTAAAGAATCAAATTTTGACTTTGTTAAGACATATTATTGTTATGTTTGTTTCCCATTTTATTAATTTCTGATACTGTAAATTTTTTTCTACCTACTCATTTTGGATATAATATGCTTTTTCTTTCACTTTTTAAAGTTAAAGTCTTAATGTTCGTCTTTCTTCTTTTATAAAGATTTAAGGTATAAAATTTCCACCACACATTGCTATAGCTACTACTCATAAACTTTTATGTGCAGTGCTTTAATTATTGCACAGTTCTAAATTATATTATCCTTTTAATCATATTTTTTCTTTAACCCATATGTTATTTAATAGTATGCTAATTTCCTGTTTGATACAGGTACCATGGCATGTGACTTTTCTCTCCTCTCATGAATGCACTTCATGGACTCCTGAATTAAACAGGGTCAAGAAAAATTGGAGTTTAGATTCAACTAGACACTACTTCTTAAACTGGAAAGACATGGAAATATGGGAGATTAGGCTAATCAGCCATCTTCTGCCATGAGCACCGAAAAGCCATCTACAAGATGGAAAGAAAGGGAGTAGAATTTAAAGAGAATTAGAGAAGAAATGACATAAGTTCGGGGAGAGAGAGAAGAATTGGGTCTTAATGTCAGTAGAGCTCCTGGTTCTAATCTCTCTCTCTCTTTTTTTTTTTTTTTAGAGAGGTTTTTGCTATAGGGCTCGTGCACTCGCCAGAAAGACAGAGACAAAGAGACAGAAAGCAAGAAATCACCCCCCAGGGGGGATGGCCACGCCGCAATCCCTTCTCCTCCATTCTTCTCTCGGGATCCTGGGCACGCACGCACACGCGCCTGGCGTGAGTTTTAAGCCGCCGGGTCCGGGACTTGAACTGCGGTCGACTACATGGGAGTCCAGCAACAGCCATTATGCTAACTGCTGGTCCCATGGTTCCAATCTCTTTGATGCCCAGCTTGCCCTTGGACTATTTCAAATATGCCTATATCCTTGAAATAATCCTCTCTCCCTTCTCTCCCCTTTCTGGCTTAGGCTACTTTGCATGGATTTCTGTCCTTGCTCATCTGAAATGTTACTGTACACACCAACTATAGAGAAGCTTCAGAGCAGTTAGATGGTGTTGGAACCATTCCCAGGGCCGTGGTTAGTAGCATCTGAAGCATCTGAAGGGGTTCTTTATAGAAGACAGGGCTTGACCATAGGCTAACAGTTGGGTTTAATGTACTTCAACAAGTTGCCACCACCACAGTGCACTTTTGGTCCTGTGCATCCCACATAGAAGTCATAAGGACTGTTAGTGTAAAATGAATTCAGTGCCAAATGGATTTATTGCAACTTAAAGAAATCGAACATAACTAGCAGAAAACATTTTGAGAATGACATGGTAAGAATGACTAGCATGCATCTTTTTCTGTGTAGCATATTCTGTTGATGAAATCCATAGCGGTTTTTAAAATTCTTTTTAGTCAGCAGCCGTCCCTCCACAGAAGGAAATGTCTACAACCCACAGTATACTGGTTTGGAAGCAGCGTCCTGAATAAAATAACAGGCTTGTTCCTGATAAAAAGAAAAGAAGCCATATCAATGTCTACCCGAGGACTCTTTCAGGGTTAGAGGGGAAGGTTAAACAGATTTCAGATTTGCTATGTACTTATTTCACGATCTGCCTATCAATCCATCTATCTATTGAGTTGAAATCAATCAGTTCAGAAGTCTGAAAAGTTGTTGCTTCTTTGAGTGCCCAGAAATTAAGTGATTATTTGAGACATAGGAAATCAATACGTTTAAACAATATGTTCTTCTTCCATTTAGCCATTTATGTTTTCATGTGAATATGCCTTGAGTTTATTCTATATCCACCCAAGAGAGGCAATATTCCATAATGTTTAGGAGAGCAAAATCCAGAGCTGAAATGCTTGGGGTTGGCCCAGGCGAGGATTTTGTGGCCTCTCTCTGTTCCTCAATTTTCTCAACCACGAAGTGGGAATATCAATAGAACCTATAATATTAAAGTGCTGTGAGGAACAAATTAATTAACACACGGGATATAGACCCAGTGTCTGGCACAGAGCAAACACTCTGTGTTAGCCTGATAACCATCCCTCACCTGACTGGTGCCCTCTGTGGTCATGCCCCAGAATAGTCTGACAATTTTGCCCAGCACTAACTTGGCATGCACATTAAGGAGGCTGCTCACCTCGCATCTCCTCAGCCATGTATGTCGGAACGCTGCGGCACATGCTAGCGATGTTTTTTCCAAATTTGTTCAGGTCACTGACTTTGTTAGGGCTGACTGAATACATCAGGCCTTTGGGAGGTGGTCCCTCTGGTTCCTTACCCTGAAGAGGAATATGGAGAAGACAAGTAGAAAGGAAGAAAATGAGAGACTAAATGCCAAGTCGGGTAGTTTGTTGATTTGAAAGGGTAGGTACAAGCTCTTTAGGGGCTCTTACTCGACTACAATTCTTTGCTTTTGTTTTTCTATAATCGAGGTGACAAAGAGGCAGTTCTCTGCCTGTGTTAAACTAAACTATTTTGGCCTAAAACAGCTGCTGTACACCCACACTTGGATTCCTATGGATAAGCTGAAAGCCTGCATGTTAGGCTGTTTTCTTGAGCTGGTTACTAAGTTACAACCAATCACACTATCCACACTTCTGTCAATCACAGAAAGCCCAACTTTTAGGCTGTCCAACTGCAAATAATCCAATCATTTCTCTACCTCACTCCCTCACTTTCATTTTTTGTACGTCTTTCCCTTTCCTGCACACGTCATTTGCCCTTTCTGTAAATTATATACACCATGACCACATGCCTAGCAGAGTCTCTCGGAAGCCATCAATTGGGAGACACCTGATTTAAATCACCTTCCCTTTGTTTAAATAAACTCTGTTAAATTTTGATTTATATAAAATTTTGTTTTTGACACCTGTATATCTCAGAATATCTAAGTGTTCCAGGAGATATAGTTGGGTTGAAACCTCAGCTCCTCATAAAAACACGTCTGAGGCTAAATTTACTCTGAAACTTGGATTTATTTGATTGTCTTAGATTCCTTGGATTGTGCTATGTGAAAACTAGCTTCTAAGAATCCAGTTTATTTATTTTCTCTACTTCATCAATGAAAGGTGCTCACTTACCATTTCCAGAAATATATGAACTCCAAAAAACATTTTTAAAGAACCATACATCTTCTTTTTCCACCTACCTCAACTAGGATTACTAGATAAAATACAAAACATGTGAATTTCAGATAAATAACAAATCATTTTCAAGTAAAGTATATCCCAAATACTGCATAGGATACACTTGCACTTAAAAAAAAAGAAGGTCCACTGTTTATCTAAAATTCAAACGTAACTGATTATTCTTCATTGCTAAGTTTGATAAACCAAACTAATTCTTGCAGAAAAATATCCTTGGAGAAGTGCTGAAGGCTCCCATCGTTATGACCAGAGATTTGCTCCTGTAACAGTCAAGTTATCAGGTGTTCTGCTGAGCCCGGGTAAATGTAGGTGTGAGCCAGGTGTGAGCAACAGCATTTGAGGTGGGCAGCTGCCTCCCCTCAGGCAATTCCCAATTGCTATTTGCCCTTTGTCCTGCACACTACAACATACTGAGGCCCAGAGGGAATGACTGTGACCTTCTGGCTATTTACTGGAAGTTATAAGACTTCCCCTTACTGAAAAGAAAATACGTATTTTTACCTGCTTTTCCTTGGCCAATGCATCAAGGGCTTGAATGGAGGGCATGGCACCCTTGTTCATTTTGTGCACAATGCATGATTGCTTGCTAAAGAATCTGGTTGCAGCGTAGCCCTGTTAAAGAAAATGGTAGATAGTTAGGCAAAAATCTCTAAGGAGATTTTCTCATCTGAAGTCAGTTCCTCCAGTAGAGAAAAACAGCTCAAACTCATGATGAGCTGGACTAGCAGCATGGATCAGGCCATGTTTTGCGATTGTACCTGTTGCTGGTACTTGTAGATAGACTGCAAGCTCTTTGAGGGCAGACTGAGTGACCAACTCATTGTTTTATTTTCAGGTTCTGGCATGATAAGGGTAACTACATATTTCTGTTTACTAAAATGAAGTTTGAAAAGCTATTGCATGTTAGTCTCCTTTGATGCTTACAGTATATCGAGGAAGCAGTTAAGACAAACATTAATTTTCTAACTGATCAGCCGGTAAAATGGAAACAAAATGGAGTTTGATTTTTAAATCAAATGAGGTTTATTAAAGATAGAACTGGTAAGTGCAGAATTAGACCTCCTAACTAGAATCAAGTGTGTTTTGGGGTGCTTACTTTTTTTCCTCTTATTAATACATGTTTTCATTTACATTTGCTTTGGTATTTTGAATTACAGGTAAAATGTAAATTTCTGTCTTTTTAGAAGATAAATGAAGACAAAGCAAGATGGGCTTTGCTTTGGTGGCAGTGTTGCTATTTAGGTCTTTTCTCATTATTGAGGGTATCTGCAGGCAAGGCAAGAGGATTTTAATGGTTATCTCAGATCTCCACAATCTCTTGAACAAAACTAACAATTGTTTATTGGTTTGAATTTTAACTATTAATAGCTGTTACAGCCTGAGAGTAAAACTGGGTGAGCAAATAAGCACTTTTACTTACAACGATATGCTTTGGTGTAGTTATTCATAGAATTTATTTTAATTTTAGTTTTCTATGGTTAGCTTTTTTTTATTTTGTTAAAAAAAGACATTATTTTTATTTTGTTAAAAAAAAAGACATGTTTTTAGAGAATGAAGTTTGCATATTGGCTACCTACAGTCTCATAGTCCCAGAGGCTATTCCAGGAGTTCCATCCATCGTTATTGTCCACGTTGGCCACGTTATGCTCGTTGTTGACACTCACGGACTGCTGCCCACTGCCGGCACTGTTGTTGTCATCGCTGATGTTGATATTCTGAAGTTGATAAGAAATTAAGCATAATTTAATGCCACTTTTTTGGGGGGGGAGGTGGAAATGTACATTGGTAACAAACCTTAAAAAGGTGAGACTTACATAGTCAGCAAGGGCAGGAATTAGGAAGACTCCAACAAGTCCAGTAAAGACAATCTGAAATCACAAATAACATCGGTCCACTGTTACATGGAGAAAGGATGTCCTCTTTTTTTTTCTCCCACAATGCAAGCTTATGAAAAATATTTACTAATTTTACCAAAGTATTGAATTTCAAAGGTAAAGTCGAAGTGTGGATTAATTACAATACCAGTAATTATGTTAATGGGGTAATATAATTAGAATTTTTAATGTAGGTCTTATGAAAAACTGATGAAAAATAAAGTTTTAAATGAATTAGATGCCTGCCATGAAAATGGTTATAAGTTCCTAAAAAGCATATCTGGAAATGATTTAAGTTCATTTTCCTTTTGATTTGGGATGCTTTCCTCCTAAGAGAAGTACTCCTTTTATTAAGAAAAAAAGGTTTTTTGTCTTTTTAAAGCAATGCATTAGGGGACCAGCTGTTGGTATAATGGCTATGTTGCTAGACTCCCATGTAGTCGAACACAGTTTGAGTCCTCAACCTTGTGGATTAATTTCACGCCAGGCGTGTGTGCGTGCGTGCCCAAGATCCCAAGAGGAGAATGAATGAGAAGGGATTGTAGCATGGCCATCCCCTCTGGGGGGTGATGCTTTGTGTTCTGCCTCTCTGTTTCTCTCTCTTTCTAGCAAGTGCATGTGCCCTATAGCAAGAAAGAAAAAGAAAGAAAGAAAAAGAAAGAAAGAAAGAAAGAAAGAAAGAAAGAAAGAAGAAAGAAAGAAAAAGAAAGAGAAAGAAAAAGCAATGCATTAGTAGTAGGTTGGGGGCTGACGTTAAAAGACCTGGACAGGTCATCTGGCTTTCAAGTGTGACTAACAGAAGGAAAGTCAGTAATGGGGACCCAAGGGACTTGGGTATATGACGTGGGCCATCAAACACAGAGTTTTATGTTTCGAGTGCCTATTCTCATTTCTTTTGCCTGGGACAAAATAGTTTGAAAACTGCACTGAAGAGTAAAGGTAATTTTTTAGTTTTTTTTTTTTCATCTTAAAAAGGAGTTAAAAATTAATTTTAAAAAAAGTTTAGAGGTGGGAGAAATTTTAGAGAGTATAATGCAGTCCTTTTATGGAAGAGGAAACTGAGTTTCAGAGGTCAAGTGACTTGGCCAAATCTATACCTCTGATTCAGGGCAGCTCTAGGAGAGAACACATCTTCTGTGTCTTAAGTTTGCCACTCTTAAGAGGACTTATTCTGGATAAGCATTTTACATTTGAAGCTGCATTGAAAGCAGAGCCTGCTGTAACAGAATCCAGTGTGTAGCAGGTTGAAATCACAAGAAGATATTCATCTAATTCTAGCCCCTTTGTGTTCAGTTTATAAGAAACACAGTAGTAGTATTTCCTTTGCCAGGATTCTGTGGTCCATCTTCCACACTCCTGGGCTAGTATTTGGAACCACCTGCTGAGTTGCTGCACTTCACACTTCAAACACTTTTCCTGATTTCATGGCCTTGGACAGGGCTCAGACAAAACCTTTTTCTTGGAGACCCATTTCACAACAAAGAATGTGATAGGAAGACTCACTCCCTTGTTTGGATAAGCTTTTCATATTGCCCAAACAAGATCAGGAGTTCTGGTAAAAGGAAGAATTTGAGAATGAGGAATCAGGTGCTTTCTAGAGTCTAGTAACTGCTTATCTGAGTAGACCAGAATCAGATGATCTGAAAAATAATCTTATTAAAGATAGCTCCAAGGGCTAGCAGGCAGGATGGTGGTTAGGGCACTGGACTCTCACATGAACAACCACAGTTTGAGTCCCAGACCTGGTGGTTTGCTCTCTCCCTCTTGGTCTCTCTCTCTGATGAGTACACACACCCTATAGCAAAATTTTAAAATTAATAATAACGAAATTAAATAAATAATTCTTTTAAAAGAAGATAGTTCAGTATAAGTTGCTTGGACAGATGTCTAATCCCAGTGTAATTATCTTTCTCTAGACAGATTTTTATGAATGCTATGATTCCATGTAAAGGAGAGATTTCTTTTTTTTTTTTACAGCTTTCCATTATAGTGATATTGCCATAAGGAACAGATCATTTTACATAAGAATGTTAAGTTTCCAGATGCATGGTAATAAATTCAAAAGGAGAAAATCTACTCACTGTGAACTTCATCTTGCTTTCACGAAAGCAATGAAGCGGAGAAGGCAGGCATGGACTTGGATGAGAGAACTTCTCATATTTGTACTTGACAGGCTTTGCTCAAACTAGGTGTGATCAGGTGGGGTCAGAGACTTATCATTCTCCACTTCCCATATCTGTGCCATGACCCAGCATACCAGGAAACCTTTCAGAATATCTACCTGGTTAGCAAGGCACTCTGACATGGACTAGATGTGACTCATCACCTGTTGAAGTTGAAGGTATCACAATAAACTCAATATGATTTATGATAACTTCTGGTCCAGTTGAAGCTATGGGTGTGGGCATTTTATACTTTGACATAACTCAGATTCAGGAGAAGAATAATCCCTAAAACCAAACAAAACTACAGATGAAAAACTGTGTATACTTGGCTTTCTAGATAGCAGTCCCTGTGGTAGGAATGGTTTCCTACCCTTACCTCTACTTGAGCACAGTGTAATAGTTTTGTGTGGGCTACACATGCTCTCTGAGCTCCTCTCACCAAACCTATCCCTTTTTCTACAAACGTGAGCTCTCTTAATTATAGTACTCTTTTTTTTTTTTTTTACTGCCACATCAACTTAGTTTCTAAATCTTGTCATTTTATCTCAGAGTTGCCTTTCAGCTCTGGCCTTGCCCACAGCTCCCCACACCTGGACTTTTATAAAAGTTGTGTGATTGATCCCTCTGGTCATCAGTTTCTTGTATTCTTGTACATTTTCTTCATTTTTCCTAAGGTTGTCTTTCTTTTCTTTTCTCTCATTTTTTTTTTTAAATTTGCTATAGGACATATGTCATCACCAGAGAGTGACAGAGAGAGAGAGAGAGAGAGAAAATGAGAAGGATAATGAAAGAGAAGTCACCCCCTGGATGGGGGATGATCACTGAAATCCAGTCTTCATTCTCCTCTTGATTATCTAGGCATGCAGGCACATGCACCCAGCATGTTTTTCTTGCAGGTTCAAGACTCAAACTGTGTAGCCAGCCATCTGGAATTTAGCAGATTTAACCACCATGCCACCCGGCTGGCCCCCTAAGGTTGTCTTCCTAAAAGCACATATGTAGACATGTTTCTACCATGCTTAGAAACTTTCCCTGGCAGCTTACAAGATCAAATTGAAACTCATTAGAATGGCATCCAGGGTTCTTTATAATAACGTTTCCAAAGTCTCTCCAGCTGTATCTGCCTCTTTAGGCCAGGTACCTAAATTGTAGTTGCACCGGAGTTCCCACCGTTCCTGCAATAGCCGAAATGTCTCCTGACTCTGCTTGTACATGCTGTCCTCTCATCCTGGAGATCAATCCCTTGCCTTTCTCTTGGTAAACTGCTACTCTTTTTTCAATACTCAGCTTAAATAGCACTTCCTCAGTTATATCTTTCTATGTCCTGGATGGAAATTTCCTTTTTTCCTCCCTAGAACTATGAAACAAATATCTATCATTTTGCTTGATTCTAGAAAACTCAGTTTCCAGAAATTACACTATGATAATGAAAACATGTTTTCATCAGACGTGGAGAGTAGAAACTGTCATTTGACCAAATAAGTACATGCTTAAAACAGTCCAGGAGGTGAAAGTTTTTATTATTTTGTCTCCCCACACTCCCCCATTACTTCTTTCTAAAAATTAGAGTTGGTAAATTTAACTTGCCAAAGAAGAAAACTGTATCTCATTAATGGCTGAGCTACAAATTTATACTTTGGAAGCCTTCTGGAGCCCACAATGATCCTCCCATGCATGGATTAGAATCAGAGGACAGGGGTACATGGTTATAAATCATTAACTATCAGCATCTCTTTCAGAATGTTGGTATGAGTGGATAGAACAGTTGTGGTAAGATTTTGGTTTTGTTTTTAATGCATCCATTAACTTATTTCAAATTCCCTCTTTAACTGTAAGAGGTCAATAGAACTGGTGTTGGAGGCAAACCAATATGAATATGTCTTTTTATCTGCTTCCAGATGTCACTAAGTCACTGCAAAGACAAAGATCATATTGCCTGTCTCTGCCTTTAGATTTAATCTTGAGTAGTCATTTTGCTACACCCAAGCAGTGCCCAGTAGATCTTTTCATATTATCCTTTAACAAGGACTTACGGTGGACCTATTCTACAATGGACCCCTGAAACAATGGAAGATGCTTCATGCCAGATAGATCAATAGGGTAGATAGATAGACAGATAATAGACCTACAGATAATAGATAGATAACATTTAGATAGATTATGGCTGGATAGATAGGTTGATAGATAGATACAGTTGTTCTAAATTCCCTCCTAGAGACAGATAATTCACATTCATGTATCAAACTTGCTAAGAAATCTGTAGGGGGGACATTTTTACCATGTTGTTTTATCCAGATTCTCTAAACTTCCTTGACTACAGACCCTGCTTGTTTTTTTCTTTTATTTTCATTTATTTTTCTAACATCTAATAATATCCCTTCACCTTCTTTAGGAAAACAGCAATTATGCTACCTCTGAGGATAAACCCTGAACTTGAAAATCTATTTGGGGAGCCAGTGGTTGAAACTAAGAGACCTAACTTCTATTCTTCCATTCAGCAAGTCTCCCCCTCCCCGCCCCAGGCCTTATATTTTCTATGGGTAAAAGAGAAGAAGTTCTTCCTGATATAACATACTTTAATGGCTCCACAATAAAAATCTCTTTCTCTGTGTCTTGTATGACATGTGTGTGAGTATACATGCTGATACATATATGAAGCTCAATTTTGAATTTTGAATTGCATGGAGGAGATGTTCAAGCTAGAGTATAAAGAGGACATAGTATCTATTCATTTCTGATTTTTGGAGCAACCAGAGAAGTGCTACCCTGCAGGGCTGCAGTGACACGTGGTGGGAGTCCTAGGTGATGGTGCAACCTCAGGATCCTGGGTTTAGTGTAGGGTAAACCAGCCAAGGGTAAATAGGCCCTTCCCAACCCGCAGAGGTCAAAGAGGGCCTTGCCAAGAAAGGAGCTCCTATCATCATCTTATCTCACAACGCACACACACCCAAGGCTTCGTTTAGTCCACACCCTCATTTTGAGCTCAGTGGATACTCCCCTTTGTGTAGAACAAGCAGGGTGCATTCTATTTACTATACATTCATGCTATGGATCTAGAGAGACACCGTTTCCCCACAGATCGACTTTTAGCATTTCTTCTTTCTATCTGAATGTAAGGGAACGCTTACTTACAGAGTGTGTTTTCATCATTATCTCAAGATTCCTTCTCCTGTATAGACCTGTTAATGGGCCGATCTGGCTGTCACTAATACCTATGAAACCATTGTTAATCTCATCTTCTCTTTAATACTTGCTTCATTTCCCAGTAATTAGGACTCAGTGGCCGTCAGCCCATTGTCCTCATACTCTAATTTGTTTGAATGTAGAAATCCCTTTGTGTAGAGACTGTCTCAATCTCCTTGCCTTTATTGTTGCTTTACTGAGCAACTTGCATACCAGTTTGATGGTCCCTGTGCAATCCCAGTCAGGTCCCTCGTCCCACCATGGACTAAGTTTACCAGCCTGTAACACAGACTCTAGTAATGGTTGCTGTGACTATAGCCTCGGTGCTGTGGCAGCGACATACTCTTATTAAGCCCTCCATCTGTACTTGTGGCCATTGGTCCTCCATCTGTACTTGTGGCCATTGGTGCTTGTGGCAGCGACATACTCTTATTAAGTCCTCCATCTGTATTTGTGGCCATTGGTGCTGTGGCAGTGACATACTCTTATTAAACCCTCTGTCTGTACTTGTGGTCAGGGATGACACATCTCTGGGGAAAAATGTAACATAAGCAAGCAGTGATATATTGTGCCTGGCCCCATAGCACAGTGGTTAAGCACTGCACAGAGGAAGCCAGATCCCATATGGGCTGCCAGAGTTTGAATCCCAACTCCTGTGGGTTTGAAAGCATACGGAGTTCATATGCATGGGCCAAAGATTTTAATGGGATGGAGAATGGAAGGAAACAGAATTGCAGCGTGACTGGGCCCTGTTGAGGTCCTTTCTCTCTCTCTTTTTCTCTTATGTGCATACATTGTGCCCTCTGGCATCAAAAAAATAGTAACAAGGACATGTGAAAGAAGTTTTAATTATTGCTAGAAAGCTTCTAATGCCAGAAAAGTCAAATGTACTATGTAGTTGTTTTGGTATAGAAGAGAAATTCTTTTCAAATTACAGCAAAGTAGAGGGAGTTCTTTACTGTAGCATCACTGAACTCTTCATTTTTGTTGTTTCCTCTGGGACCACTGCCTTCCAAAGCACATATAACTCTGCTTTTCTTAGCTGCGTGTATGTGTCTGTTCAGTTGCACTTGCCAGACCTTCTGGATCCCCTTAGAAGCAAGCAGTGATATATTATGTCTCAGTTTAATTGTTACCTTGAATGTTAGGATGTTTTTTGGAAAGAAGTTTGGAAAAATCTTGCTAAAAGAAGCTCTCCTGGGTAATTTCATCATTTGTATAAAATGTATGAAAGTAGAAGTAAAGAGAATGTTGATCAATAACTTCATTTTTTTCATGATCATGTTTAAACCTGGTTAAACACTTCTGTCCTGAAAAAGAGATTTTGAGAAAATATACCCATAGAAGGAGTAGAAATCACCAAGTGAGAGTAACTTGTTATTAAGTTCATGACTAATTCAGAAATAATAACACTATTCCTTGTTCAGTGTTTGAACTGAAGCAGTTTAGACAAACAAACATGGTCATGCTTAAGAAGTGTCTATTCAGTTGGACAGTCAGACCTGGAAAGGCCTGCCTATATGACTGTGGGAGACTTAAAGAGGCAGAACAACTGGTTCTCAGACTCCAAGATCCTGCAATCTATGAGAAATGGGCCTAACATCATGTGCATGTGGTCAGGGCAGTCACACAGGGTCCATGCTCAGAAGAAAACCCACCCTTGGGTTTAGTGCTTTGTAGTTGCTGTGTTGAAATTCTTAATAATTTTTGAACTTGTGCTTTGTAGTTGGAGTCCAAATGGGGCAATGGAGCATGCACTAGAGGCTTGGGGCTTTGGTTAATACTGGGTTCTGTCCCCCACCCTGCCAGATGGGCTCTCACTACTC